GATGCGGATATCAGTCACCACAAATGAACTGGGGCAACCCGTCGGCCCTGAGGCTTCAAAATTGGTTAGCTTTCTGGGCACTCTTGCAAGGAATGGAAATTTGGCACCTCTTACATACGTTGACTGGAGGGCTGTGCCTGAAGAGAGCAAGGAGAATATGTGGGAGGAAGTTCAGGTAACAGGACCTGTTTCTCTCTTCCTTTGCTCTTTCAAAAACATTAACTGTTCTCAATCATATGATGCAGAAGAAGTTTGAAATTGACCCAAATAGTAAAAGTTGGGTTATTAAATCCCTTGGCAAAAAGTGGAAAGACTGGAAATCCAAGTTGAAGACTGCACATTACATCACTCATGCAACTGATGAGGAGAGGCTAGCTGACCGTGATGAGAGAGTCCTTCCAGAACAATGGGCCTACCTTGTTTCACATTGGAGTTCCGAGGAAGCAGAGGTATCTAGCTAGCATGATTTCATGTGATTTTTCATCTTGTGGAAGTCACCGTGTGCTGTTCTTTTTTCCTTCTCATAACTCATCGACTTCACATTGTGGATATCTGAAATTTGTCTCTCATGATAGAAACGGAGTGCTACAAATAGGGCTAATCGTGCACAGCAGAAGTTTGGGCACGTTACAGGAACCAAGAGCTTTGCACGGATACGTGAAGAGCAGGTAAATACGCTCTCTTTGACACTAAATTGCGGAAAGTTTGGCCCATGGTGTTTCATTGGAGTCAATAGGAAATGGTCACAAGAATGATCCTAACGACTGGTGTCTGGAAAAACAGCGTGTTAAGAGATCTGATGGGAAGGCTCCATCTCGGGCAGAGCTATTCATCTTGACTCGCACGCGCAAAGATGGAAAGCCTGTAAATGAAGCATCCTCTGCTGTAATTGTATGGCTGAGCACAAGCAATTTCACAGTGCAATTTCACAGTTTCTTCAAGTTTTGCCAAGAGTATACGGAAGTATCCCTTTGGATTTGTTTTTAATTGTTCAAGCACTTGATTTTCTTTACAGACCCAGCTTCGTGAAATTGGAAGTCAACCACAGAATGCCTTCCAGAACAACAACGCTGGAGGTGACGTCTTCTCTCAGGTTGTGGGTCGAGATAGACACGGTCGTGTGCGTTGTCTTGGATTGGGTCCATCTCCTTCTGATTTTGTGGGACAAAAACCTACGCAGGCTGAGGCCATGAAAATGGTGACAGAGGCGAATGATGAGGTACGCCAGATGAAAGAGCGGTTGGTGGCCATGGAGCAGACTTGTACGCAGATGGCACAACAGATGGCTACTATGATGTCGATGATGTCATCTATGCAGAAAAACTCGACAGCTGACAATGTGCCTGATGTAGTAAGTTCACAATTCCAGCTCACTGTTTCAGATTTCTTGTACTCTCGTCACAGGCACAGCAGGAGGTTTAAAGTGGAATGTGTAGGTTCAAACACACCCAAGAGAAGCTGTAGGTTCAGCATTTTAGCTATTTGCTCTAAGCAGCACAAACATGCATATGGCAGAGAATAGAAACTGGATAGCACTTGTTGGGATGTACTAATTTTGATGCTCTTGTCGTGATAGGTTGTTAATGGCTCAGGCAATTCCGAAGGTTCACCAGATCAGCAAGTACAATCCTTGCCATTAAGACGCTCAAGTAGAAAAGGCAAATTTTAGGCATGCAGCTTCTAAAGGAGCTTTAGTCCCCCCTTCAGGAAATGTAAAATACTACTATATGTCTTTGCACACTAATTTAATTAGATCCAATCCAGTCAGTCTTTTATTGGGGCTTTAAATTATACATATATACTTAGATGGGCTGAAGTTTCTTAAAGAATTTCTTTTTCAGTAAATTTCTTGGTAGCATTAAGAGTTTGGTGAATTCTTAGCACCCGTTTGGTTCGGACTCCGGAACAGCAGCAGCAATGAGTATAAAATGATCCTCTAGCTTAGCTCCCATGGTTGACATATGCTGGAGGATGTGTTAGCAGTGTGTGTATGGTATGCCATGCCATGAGGCACAAAAAAGGGGAGATGGAGCATGGGTGCATGGGTGTTTGCCATTTTCTTCACAAAGCATGTTATGATAGTGTTGTTAATGGCCTCTTCAATAGCTTGATAGTTGAGTTCATGCTGTAGAATTAAAATGAACAGGTTGACATTAGATACAGTATACTTATTTGTGGATGACAATATTCTATATGCATATGGAAACAGTATTTCTTACCTTGTTTTCTAACTCTTGCATCTGCGAAAGTGTGAAAGGTAGTAACTGAAGGGATCATTATCATAAAGATCAAGCGTTAAAACTCCAGAATAATCAGCAAGTTCACAGTTAATCGACATCTTGTCACTATATTCACATGTTTGTTGCATGAGGTGCAAACAATTTTCCAGATAGGCTTTGCTCTGAATGATTTATGGCATTGTGGACAAGCATTATACCATAATCGCTGGCTTTTGTCTAGCAATTTTGGAGTACCACGCAACCAGTAAGCTTTTTTCTGTATTGAATTATAGTGAGTAGTTAGAAATCTGAAAATATTATTGTGAATAAATGATGGGATGTAGAATTTACCGTAGGAAATGCCAGGAAGTCTTGAATAGTGGTCAGCTCATCATCCCTTGGCTGTGATAGAAGCTTAACTCGATTGTGGTATGCTTTTTCTGCTATCAATTTTTTGATTTCTGCTTCATTCTCAATAGCCCTTGTGATGAACAGAGAAGTTTTATTTGCAATGTTTATAATATGCAGTTAATAGAAAATATTTTCAAATGATGTTTGTTGAGAAGAATTGTCACCAGTGCTTGAGATCAGCAGCTTGTTGTATTGGAGGATTAAGGAGAATGCTTGATCCAAATTTTGTTGACAGGTTCAGTGCTGCAATATTTACGTCCCGTAATGTACATTGTATTATGAGTATGTTCAAAGTCAGAAAATATGTGGAGCATAAGAATTTCTTATGTACTCACTGTGATATGATGATACTTTAATCCGAAGTGCAACAATCAGTGGCATTGTGTCAATTATATTTGCAAGTGCTTGGCCTTCATCTGTTTCATGCTCACCCCATAGTGTTAGGATAACTGGCATCATGCTGTAGTGTATTTGATTGATAGATGAACATTTGTTAGAAGAGATTATTTGTATCAATGTGTGGTTTAGAACTGATATAGAATAAATGGATAGTTTTAGTTACCTTTTATCTATAAGTACCACTTCTCTAGTAGCTGTAGTGGCCCTTTGTATCCGAGGATGAACTTCAGCGACAATGCCTAACATCTGATTTTCAATTGTGCTGAGTTATAACTATAATGTGTGCAGTAGCAAGTTAGTAGTAAGATTTGTTGGTTACCTATATCTGTGTTGTCATCCATATGTTGGTAGAATCTTCTATAGGGTGAGAATCTGAACACAGCTGGAATCTGTGGACTCGACTTCATTACTGCTTGAACAACAGTAGAGTTGTCTATGTACCATGTGCACTGATTTGGATGAGTGGAATACTCTGATGGTGTGTACTCAACTCTAGCATTGCAGAGAATGTATCGCTTGTAAAGTTGGAAATGATTTCGGAAGAACTCAATGTCTGATTTATAAATCATTGCTTCAACTGTTGACCCCTGAGAATAGTCATGGTTGTTTTGATGTCAATGTCAAAATTGAGTAATAAAGAACATGACATAAAATTGAGAATTTGTATTACCTGCTCATCAATTAATATGAGCTTCTATATCGGTTTCCTGCCTTTGAGAGTAATGGCTTTTGCTTGTCTAGAACCTGAACATAGTTGTCCAGTTTTGTAGTCCAGGAATTATTTCAGCAAATGAGATGATATTTTTTTCCTCCTGCAACTCATAATATAAGTAGCTAAGTGCTGGATGAAGCGAAAGAAAGGTGTAAAATCATGAATATATACAAATAACTGATATACACATGGTTAACAGTATTGATAAGCTAAATCTAGTACTTCTGTATATACTATATTTTCAGTAATTGAGTCTTCTTGGTCATCAAATATTGATGGTTTAATCAGAATTTTAATAGAACTACTATTCTTAGCTCTTGACATTGCTACATATAGCTGTCCATGGGAGAAAACCGGCTCACGCAAATATATGCCGACAAAATCAAGTGTTTGTCCTTGAGCTTTGTTTATTGTCATAGCAAAACAGGGTCGAACAGGAAACTGAATTCGTTCGAATGATACTGGTGAGTCTGAATTATTCTCTGCTCTAAAACAGATTCTGTGAATGAAGACTTCTTTTCCAGCAAATTCTCCACATGTTATGACTGCATGTATAATTTGGAGCTCAAGGATTTGCATATCAGTCTGGTGCCATTACATAATCCCTGAGGCGGATCGATGTTTCTTCAGTAACATGATAGGGCAGTATGGTTTGAGAAGCAGCTTATGAGGGGGAAACCATTTGGAGTCAAACTGTTTAGCAAATCTTCCATGATTGTCTGCTCAGAGCTATCTATACACTTGTCTCGCTGGTATATTCTTGCAATTGTCCTTTGAACTGTACAATGAGCCTCTGATTAATTTGATCCACAAAGTCATTTTTTGTTGTCAGAATAGCACGATTAATTGCAGAGAAATTGTCCTGGCAAAAAGCGTTCAAATCTGGGAACACTGTGCGGATCAATGTGTTCATTGATTCTTCCTCATTGGTATATCTTATCAGCATTGATGCAGGTATCTGGATAGAATTCTTGGAGATAAATGGCTCTGTTCCATTTCCGATGCGGAGTAGATATTCAGTAAATTCTGCATCATATCTTGCTCTCATATTTTGAGTCAGATGCAACTTATGTAGCTGTGGCCATATGTATGAGTTCACTATACTTGCATCGATAAATTCAGATTTTGATCCTTTTGTTACTACTGGCAAGACTTGACGAAAGTCACCTCCAAAAACAATGACCTTTGATCCAAACAAATTGTTGCAGTCCATTATGTCTCTGAGAATTTTGTCAACACTCTCAATGAAGTCTTGTGTGTCATTGGAGCTTCATCCCAGATTCAGAATTGCAGATTGGCAGTTTTGCTAATGAGCTTTGTTTACTAATTCTGCATTGCTTATCTCGTGTTCCACTAATTGGTATCTTGAATCTTGAATGAGCTGTCCTTCCACCTGGAAGAATCGAAGCCGCAACTCCACAGGATGCTGTAGCCAGAGCTATGTGTCCTTTTGACCTGATTTCTGCTAGTAGTGCTCGATAAAGGAATGTTTTTCCTGTTCCGCCTGGTCCATCAATGAAAAAGGCTCCTTTTTTTTCAACAAAAACTGCATTTATAATAATATCAAAAACTTTTTTCTGATCAGCATTTAATTGTTCAATTGCTAATAAGTCATGCTCTGGTACAGAGATTGTTGTTTCAGCTATTATATCACGAGTGTTGTTGTTCAAGCTATCAAAATTCATGATATTTGGAACTAAAGCATACTCATTGATATCTTTTCCCATTGATTGTAGGAACTGATTTATCTGGTACAGTACCTGGAAACGAATTTGATCAACTGATACTTGTGGAGTTCTGCTGATATCTTGAGATAATGGCTCTTCAAATTGTTCCCAAAGATACCTGGCATTTGAAGGAGGAAAATGAACAAGTAGTGTGGCAAATAATCTTCTCAAAGTATATGGCATGTGATACATAGCTGCTTCCTGAAGGCATTGTTGTTGTGACTTATCAGACTCAAAGTAACCCCTGAGAATTGCTGCCTCCCGAAAAGTACGTACATATGCTCCATTTATTGTTCTTAAGTCATCGAATGAAGTTGGACTTTTGACATTTGTGAGTAGCAATCTGAGAAAGTATCGTTCTCCTTCCATTGGGTTGGCTGTTACTATCCTACCTATAGAGTCTTTCTGCTTTCTTGGTTCCCATTTCCTCCTTCCTGGATACCAAACAAAGTGCTCAGGAAACTGTTTGTAAGTACATTTGAGATTCTGAGCTAGAGAATCAGTAGAATTCATGTAGAAAAATTCTGTCAACATGGTTCTCTTAGCAAATCTATTTGCTACTATATCACGTAGGTCTTGGTCTTCTCTGAAATTCAATGCTTGACAGTTTTGTAAGTGAATAACAGCAGGATGTATTTGAAACAGCAGGAACCTGTATATTCTCCATATACCTTCCACAGCACAGACCCATCTAGCCGATTGATAGTCTTTGATCTCATCGATTGCACAGACATGACCATCAGAATTCAGCTGATTAGAATCCTGTGAATTGAGTACAAAATGAATCTTGTCATGACCTTTGTAGATATACTTATACATGTACTTTACTGCCTTGACTGTAGAGCAGATTTCCACGTTCAGATGGCAGTTGAATTTTGCAAGAAGGTAAGGATTGTATGGAACAACCCATCTGTTATCAAGCTCATGTCCACGGACCATCATTTTGTATCCATTGTTTCTTCTTCGATAAGTAGGGTATGTGTTATCTCCATGAAAAGTCTTATCGGCAAATGGTTTTGGATAATTATTCCTGCATTTTTTCTGATGTTCTCCTCGCATACAAACATTGGTTGGATTTCTTTTTCCACAAGGGCCATGAATCATGTGTCTGCGAACCATGTTGAAAAGATGTGGATTTTTGCTTTCATCTGGAATCTCTGCACTAACTATTCTGTCATAAGAATCTGTCGAGTAAAGTTTTGAACATGGCTTCAGAATTATGAGGAAATGAGCATGAGGTAAACCGCGTTTCTGGAACTCTATGACATATGTGTAAGCAGCAACAGATCCGAATATTTCTTTCTTGAATAACTCCTGTTTTAAAACATCAAGCTTTGCGTGAAAGATTCGAGTGAGCAGGTCCGGCCTGTTATGTGCTTCATCTGTTGAAAGCATGAGATTCTTTATCTCTGGCCATGAAGGATTGCAAGTCATTGTAATGAATAAATCTGGTTTGCCAAATTTCTGGACCAAAGCCATAGCATCAACATATCTCCTTTTCATGTCTCGAGGGCCTCCTATGAATGAAGCTGGAAGGACTACTCGTTGGCCTACTTTTGAAGCTTGGCATTGACCTGTTATAACACTATCCATTACGCCTTGCAGCTGCTCTCTCCTTATGAATTCTTGTTTGCTTTTATAGTAATCCAATCTCTGACTTTCAATTTTGATGTACATATCCACAACATATTGCTGAAGTAATCTACCAGTGTTAAGTATGTTTGGAGAATATTTGTCTCTGATCTGCAATTTATAAGCATAATATTCTCGCATTGACACAAATTCACCATTGTTTTCAGGATCATTGGAAACTGAAAGTTACAAAAATAAGGTATAAGTAACTGGTTTCACTATATGAAGTTGCATACATTGATAAGATATAGGATCATGTGAGACTAATCGAAGATAATGCGAGTAGTATGTTCTCAAAACAAGTAATTCAGGATCAGTAATTATGTAAGCAAGATGTGAGCAATGTACATAAGTAATGTATAAGACATTTGCATATAGATAATGTAGTTATTCATCTTAGGAATACCTTCTTCTTCAGCAGATATCATGTCTTCAGCAGATTTGAAATTGGTGAGGAGAGCAGTAGGTTTGTTTCTCTGAACAGATCTTTTTCTCTTTTTGCCATTTTCTCTGACAAATCTTCTAATTCCAGGATGCCAGCCTGTTTCACCAAGTGCAAATAATAGTGGATATTGCAGAGGATCGTAACAACCATAATAGTACTGGACGAGGTGATCCCTTCCTTCTTTTGTATAAATTTTAATGTGTCTAACATAACTTGTTCCTGAACTCTCTGTTTCTGTCCAAAGAGCTGCAACCTGAGAAGCTGTTGGATGATTGAATACTCGTTGATCATTCTGTGAATGTGATTTCAAGACTATCTGATATGAATCCAGATTTGGAACGTTTCTTAGACTGCGGAGAAAACATGCGTATGGATTAGACTTCATGACTTCCATGATCTTCATTACTATACTCTCTATTAATCTTTCTGAAACTGCCATTCTGTTTTGAAGCTCATGATCTGTATCATGAAAATAGAATTGCAGATATAATCCAGATCCTCCATGTGGAATAAGGTCTTTGATAAAGTGATAGCTTTGTCCTTGAACTTTGAAGGTATAAATGCCATTTGTTCTCTTGCAAAGCGATTTATCATAGTGTACACCAAAGGAAGTGAAGGCAAACATATTATTGTATGTTCTGACATATGTACGAAAGGATAAAGTTTCATCAGAATGACCAGTGAACAATTCTACAAGAATATCTGGCAATTTATTCTCATGGAGAACTACTTGTCCGTCTGAGCAACAGAAATTGGGTGTCTCAGAGTGCATTTTTTTTCCTCCACAGTAGTGACAATCAGCTTTTGCAGGTAATCTATCTGCCTGATGATTAATAAATTCCAGTGCATGAACTCCATCAACAGCCTGATTACCTATAGATTTACCAATTAGTTCAGCTAAACTAAAGGTTGGAACTGAACATAAGGAGGTAAAAGAGGAACAATCAGTGATTTGTAATCTATACCTCTGTTTTTTTTTCTTTTTTATTAATAGCTTTCACTTGTTTCGCTGATGAATGGCTTTTGCCTGAATGATTCAAGTATGTATAATTAGAAGCAGAAGCCATAACCTTTATACATGTAGTGGTAGCAATATGATCAAGGTATTTGTATGAATAGAAGTGGTTTGAGGTTACATAATGCATACTGAAGTTTTCTGATCAACATCAGAAGTAATTAAACAGTTTAATATATTTTAATGAGATGGTTATTTGATGGATTTTTTATGCCAAATTAGTTTACAACAATAGTGAGAAATAAGAAACTTGATAGTACACAAGAAATTTGAGAATAAAATGACAACCTCATGAGAATTGTCAACCAGCTCATATGGTAATTTGAGTTTTTCTATATACAAGATAGTAAATTCAGATCAAAGCTAGTAACCTGCAACTCTTCTTGTTTTAGCAGAACAATTATCAGGGACTTGATACAGCTGGTGTATTGGGAGGATAGCTGACAAATCTGTTCAGGGTAAAGTTCATGCAATTGTTAGACACAATCGCATCACGAATTTTTTTAAAAAGCTGAAAGAACATTTGACCTGAAGTTTGTTCAGCTATTTCTGTCAAGAATTTGTAGCAGTTCATGCATATGAATGATTTATCTGAAAAGTAAACAAGAATACTAATATAGCTGATCATGATAATGTTGATGGTTATATATAAGAAGCAATAATCAATGATTAATTTCGAAGCTTAAATGACCTGCATTGTGTACCATGTCAGTAGCTACACATGTATGTTGTGTACCAGAGTTAGAACAGATCCTACGTATAAAAATTAGAGATGGAGTATTGTATGAATAGAATACTGTTTATGATTTGAGTAGGAAAGATATATTAAAAACAAAGTACACCATGTACCTTTCTCATAGCTTGAGAAGCAAGAAATCTGTTCCTCTAATTTTCTACCCAACTGAGCAGAAGGTAGTTCATCACTGTTATTTGGAGAGGGAGAAATCCGAATACCAGGTTTTGGAGCACCTATTACAATAGATAGAGTTCAAATTGGTTGCATGAATATTATAAAAAAAATTGAAATTGAGATAGGATAACAAACAATGGACAGTCTAATTCACTACAATATAGCAAGAAACACGAATACATATACAACTAAGTTTAGATGAATTCATTGATTTAAAGTAGATAGAAATGGTACCTGTAAAGTTTTGTGTAAAGTAAGAGCGTGAGAATTCACTACGTGAATCACCTGAAGGTGAGGTAGAAAAATTTGCAACCAATAATTCCATCTTAGAAAAGTTGGTAAAGAAAAATAAATTGTATGACTAACCTTGATTACAACCAATAATTCCATGAACATTCTCATTGAGTTTGGAAGTTTGACAACCAATAGCTTGGATAACTTTATCATTCAAAGCTAGTCATCAACAAAATAAGGGAAATAGACAGGTTATGATAAATATGCTATGCACATACAGATTATGAGAATATAATAAGAGTTTTTGAATCACTATGTACCATGAGAACATTGTTGAGCAGAAAGGCTACGCATAACAGATGCAGAAACTGGTGGTTGAGAGGCTTCTTGAAATTGTTGTGGCAAGGACTTGGAAAGTATTTTCTCCAATTTTTTCTGTGATAAGCTTCTCTGTTTTTTTTGCGCTGAGCCTGTTTCTCTTCGACAGATAGAGCAGCAAATTTGTCTCTTTTTTTACGATTTCGCTTATCCTTTTTCTCACGAAGTTTATCAGGATCATCCGTTATGGATAGCTTGGAGCAGCTCCTTTAAGGAACAAACAAAGATAGACAGAGGAAAATCTAGGCGCAAGGAACAAACTATTCAGCTAAAAAGGATGAAGACTATCAGTACAGATGGAATGAGCTATCAACTAAATATATTAAAAAACAATAAAAAAAACCAACTGAACGAAGCAAAGAGAGTAGAAAACCTCCATGGAGACAGCAAACGAAGCTTATCAAAGTACCTCTGCTACTGCGTATTATAAGAAATTGGACCACCTCAGTACAGATTGGGATAAAAGAAATTTCCAGTTGCATGGAACAGCTGAAGGGCTCATGTGAAGTAAGTTTGGATTAGCATAAGAAAATACCTGATTCGAAGCAAGCTGTATGAAGCAAGTTGTAAGATGCAAGATGCCCTGTAATTTGCATGTAAACTGGTTTTCTGAACGTAGGAAACTGTTTGCATGAAATCTCTGGTGCCTATGTATTCATCGCTGATCAGTAAAAAACAAGAAATATGCAAAACCGAGACAAAGAATCTGGAAATGACAAATATAGCCAACCTTAGGAAGGAACTGGTCCACAAAATAAGCATCAGAATGACTAAAACAGTAAAAAATAGATGGTAGTGGGAGACAAGTGATTTAACCCCTATGACACGTGATTGAACTCTTTGGTCAAAATTGAAGAATAAAGTATATCTCATGTTTATCACATATGCATATAAAAAAAATATATCTAAATGCATATATTATCACTTATCACTTAATAAATATACATGATTATATCTATAATATAAATATACATGATTATATATATGAATATATAAAAAATTTATCTAGTGGTTCTCTTATATCCACCATAATTGTGGATATTTTTTAATGGCTATTACCTTTATCAATTTATCAATTTTTTAAAATAAAAATATACATGGTTATCCTTATATTAGAAACCCAATGAATGGAACTTAAACACAATTGATGGTTTTTTATATTAAAAAGCGGAATACATTTTACTTAAACAATTGATAATATAAACAAAATGTGTTTAATTTGATAATATAAACACATTTGATAATATTAAACACGTTTTAATATTAAACTTGTCAGACAAAGTTCAATTCATGGTTTAAGTTCAATTCTAAACATTGATTATGATTTAAGTGAAATTACTTTAAACTTTATAACACATGATCAAAGCGATTTGAAATTTTTTGGGATTGGTGAAATTTTTTCGACATCCACACAATTGTGGAGTAGAACAGAAAATTTTAGATTGTAAACATTGATTATGTATGGTTTATAATAAATTTTAGATTCTAAAATTTGAAGAGAAAAGCCTTTTTTCCTTCTCCATCCACACAGCTGTGAAGTACAACAGAAGCTATGAAAGCCAGCTGCACAGCCACCAGTCGGATGTTCAAATCACTGCAAAAGCTGAAGCAGCAGTGGGACCAGTCAATGTACAAACCACCATGCAAAGTACAACACCATGAAGCAGGCGCATTCAGCCCAGCAAGAGTCGGACCAACAACCTACAAACCAGCAACACTCACATCAAGTGCTTGGCTCCAATTTAGCAGGAGCGGTCCCACCATTCAACGTACAAATCAGCAGCCCAAGGTACAACAGCTTAAAGCAAGCGGATGCACTCGAAATCCCACCAACAGTAGAAACACAAAGTGCTTCTTATATATAGTAATAGTATAGATAGATAGATATACACCTCAAGTGTGAAAGTTTGCTCCCGAGCATGATCCAAACTTGCTATGATGGTAGACGACCAGGCCAACAGGCTGGTTCACACAACCCGATCCACCAAATAAAAAAGTAATAATAATAAGAGGAGAAGGAAAATGTTTATGTACACCATCATTATCATCATCGTCATTAACATATTATTATTATTTAGTTTTAGAGAGACCCCAAACAATGAAACAATTATATTACTGCACCACTATATTTAGAAGAAATAATAAAAGAGCAGCATCGGTCAGACGTAAATCCAAAATTGAAATGTGGAAGCCCAAGGCCTACTAAACGCTTTGCAAGTAGGCCCAACGGGCTTCGCCGACGAAGCGTTACGCTTTTCTACAATTATGTAATTAGCCGCGCCAAACTGTTGCGTAGGCGGAGGCAGATGAAAGTAAATGCCGCAAAAACTTTTTGCCACGTAACCCAACCCATGCTCCCCGCCTCACTCTCTGCTCCCCATTTTGGAGGTGGGAGTGGAAGCTGGGAAGCAGTAGTAAAATACTCTTCTACTACTAGTCTACTGCCACTCCTCAAAACCCACCCATTTCCCACCGCTCGGCTCTGTACTCTCTCACTCTATCGAAAGAAGAAAGAAAGGTTCAATCAATCAATTTTCTTCCATTTCTGGCTCCATCCTTTTTTGTGCTAATATTTCTCGATTTCCCGCTCTATTTCATAATTTGGTCGCTAATTTATCTTACTTGATCGTCGCAATTTTTTTTTAAAATTTTTTTTGGTTTCAACATTCATTTCAGTTTTTTTTTTTAGTAAAGATAGTAGAGGATCAAATTCCTCTTTAATTTAACAGTTCAATTTTGATATTGTTTGCTGGAATTGTGATCTGATGATTGTACACTCTCTGATTTTTCATTCCTGACATTTTTGAGCCCACCAACTCCATTTAGGGCTCTTGCATGTGAGGTTTTTTGGTTTATTTGTTCATTATAGGGGTTTCTAACTTTTAGCTTTTACCAAAAAAAATTCTGAAATCTGTTTCTTTCTTTCTTTTTCTTTTTTCTTTTCAAAATTGTAGCTTTTGATTTGTTAAATTGGTCGTTTGATCATTTTGCATTTTATATTTTTCATGCAAAATGTTTTTGTTTTATTTTTATATTTGTGTTGGAGACTCTCTTTAAGTGAGTCTGCATGCAGATTTTGTCTTTGCGGACTTGCAGCATCTCGGTAGACCCTTGAGTAAGCTCTAAAAGAAACATTAATTGTTCCGGGTAATTCTTAGCTAAACTTAATTTTAATTTAATTTCTTTTTTGTCATGTAATGCTGCTGCCTAATCACGGTTTTTCTGATAATACATTCTAAGGTTCGTGCATGTAGGTTCTTTGTCGGTGACTCTTTTGCATGGCTTCGTAATTTATGGCTTCTAATTATACCATATGATATCTCCTCTTCAAATTTTCCTTTTTTTTAAAAGGAAAAAATAAAAAGAAAAGTTGCTTTTCCTTATCTGCATGATGTTTAGTTTGGTTTTTCAAAAAATGCACTGACGATTGTAATAGAGTCGGATTTCTGTTGATATTTTTGTTTGTTTTCTTGCTGTCTGAGGAAGTCATCTAACGTTCGTGCATGCAGGTCTTTTGGGGTGCTTACTGGTAGTGGGCCAGCTACAATGACACTTGAAATTTATTTGTCTTTCGTTTGTATTCAAACGTATGTGTGTGGTCTTTTTTTTTTATATATATATTTCAAATCCTTGTTTCTGAGTTCTGGTTGGTCTTGGAAAAGAATTTTGTTCAATAGAGGTGTATTATCTTCGTCTGTTATGCCTATATGTTTGTGGATTTAATTGATAATTATCAAGAGCTATAAGAAAGCACATAACTGTTTGTTGATGATGATTCTGTGAGCTATTTACTTTTCCTTTCAGCTGCAATTGGTGGAATATATTCTCCCATTCTTGATAATTTCGACAAAGTAATCCTTTTTCTCTTGGTTGCAACTTACCTTGCAGCAATATTTTGCATGTGTCCATATGCTTACAGAGGATGGTTTGGTTTGAAGTTCTATATAGTATAGAACTCTTATCAGTCCATGTGCTGGTTCTTACATAATTGTTTGTTCACATCTTACTTGTCACTTTCTCTCTTTTTCTTTAATTTTCAGTTCTCTAGTTTTCTTGCGAGTGGAACATTATACTAAAGAAAATCTAATACTCAGTAGCCAAATTATGGTCTTTTTGACTGCAGTAACAAGTAACTTAGAATCTCAAGTCAACTGGTTATAATTCATTGCTGCAGGAAGCCCGTGCATTTAAGACTTTCAGGTTCAAAAGAAGGGAAAGATGAAGCGCAAGCGTGGATCCGTTAGACGCAAGCCTAAAAAAACACCAGTGCCAGTTGCTAATAATGCATCTGCAAATTCTTCTTTTTTGAATGCTCAAGGTTATTCTGGGGATCATGATGGATGTGATGGATTTGATCCTACCATGGAGGGTGAAACAGCACATGCAAATGCCACTTTAAGTTCTTTCCATCAGGGACTAGATGAACCAGCCTTTCCTGGGGAGACAAATGGTGGCAATTCAATACAGAATGGTAATCTGCTAAAGAGTGTTGCCAGCTTTGCAGCTAAGCTGTCAAGAACTGTTGGTTCATCAATTGCCGAGCCATCTGATAAAGCACTTCCGTTGCAAGGTGAAAAGTCACAAGGAAAGAAACCAAGACTATTCCATCAGGATCCTCAGAACAATGAGCAAGAGCTAAATGCTGCCCTTGTGGTATGTTCTGCATAGAGTTTTCTGTGGTAGCTTCAGCAACAAAATTTGAACGGTTTTTTTTGGTGATAGCTTGTAGAAGCTTGAGTTAGTTTTTCATGTTAATTCCCTGGATGGTTTTTATTCACTTGCAGGTGATTAAGAAGATTATGAAAACAGATGCAGCTAAGCCATTTAATGCTCCTGTGGACCCTGCAGCCTTGGGAATTCCAGTATGTAGTTGGCAGTTTTGGTTACAACTGCTTCTCATTCCTTTTTTATTTCCTTTTTTAAAGGATATTTTTCCCCTTCAGCCACTGTTGTGAAGTGTCCTTTTTCCTTTGCTAATCTTATCGTCAGTGGTAGTGAGGTTTGTTAAAGGCCTTCCATATGCCTTTTTCTGGAGATTCTTTGCCCACTCCTGCATTTTTTGGGTCTTGGATCTTCGACTTGTTGATGTATCAAAACATTTTTCATGGGATGGCCAAACTCTTGTGTTTGTTCTGCCATCGTTCTAGTCTTCCTCTTACATACGAACCCTTTCTCTAGTATTTTATTGCAATTTTTAGATTTGTTCGACTCCTGCACATTGTAATGGCCTTGCTATTTATGTTCTTTCTTATGATTTAAATAGGTCTTTTGGAAGAATTTTTACTCTTTTTAGAAACTCTTAACGTTGACTGACTTCTCAAGTCAAGATTTTTTTTTTCAAATATTCTCTTGATATTAATTGGGCTGGGGTTGTACACAGGATTATTTTGATGCTATTGTTTCTCCCATGGACTTTGGTACGATATGCAACAACCTAGAGTTGGGTTTAAAGTACACAGATGCAGCAGATGTCTACAAGGATGTGCAGTTAATTTGGGATAATTGTTCCAAGTACAATAAGAAAGGTGATTATACCCTGGAGCTCATGAAGCGGGCAAAGAGTAACTTTATAAAGCACTGGAATGCAGCTGGTTTATTCAGGCATCCTGAAGAAGCTGATAATGGTACGAGTGTCCCTGGTCTGTTCCTTTCATAGTCATTCTTCTGTTCAGATGTTGCTCAACGTGATTCGCACCATTGAATTCATTGGTTTAGGCAAAAACCGAATGAGCTTTGCTTATCTTTACTTTCAGTAGTTGGTTTAGAAAGTGGGCCCACTTTACCCTTTAATGAGGCTCTGTCATGTCTATATTGTTTACAAGCTCATTTCTATTGGTGGGGATTGGAGATAACATTAGTAGGACCTGTGTGTTTAACTTCAAAGCATACATATGTAGAAAATCATAAACACTTTCAGTTTGATTGCAACTCATTATAAGATTCAATACTTGTAATTTGCAACACATATTCCTCTCCTTCATCAAATTGTAATAGATAGATAAGGACGGGAAAGGAAATAGTGGAGGTTAAGTCTAAGAACTAGCTGTTATTACATGTTCTCTAGTACAATTATAGCCATTCAATTCCTTGTCTTTCTAATTACTGATTCAATTGTCTTGTTTATCAAGTACATTTAGAAGCAGATCCACAGGATATTAATGGCTGTTTCACAAGGCACAACAAAGAAGGGCATATGTTTCCAGCAGGTTCCATGATCAACAACTCCATCCATCATGAAAGACCTGATTTGGTTGGTCTTTACCAGGTGCAGAGACATGAATGTTCACCTTGCTTCAGCCACATGCACTCCCAGCATATATGCTCCCAGTGCCAGTGTGAGTGCCAATCTTCAGAGTTTCAGTCCTTCCAGCGCCATCGTAGCAGACGTCGTCCTACTGCAGGTAACCTCTCTACTACCTGTAAAGGAGATGCTTCTCATTGTTGTATGATTTGCCTAAGTTATTAGACTTCTTAACCATTGCTGACATTGTGGTCCTTGGTTTCTTGATGTGTACTTTTTAAATGGTTCAACAGCTTATGCCAGAAGTAGTAGTCTTCCTTGTCATATTTGGTGTCTTCACTGACATATTTTTTCTGTTTATCATTGAAGAAATAGAAGAGTTTTTTTTTTTTTAATTCTAGTGTTGCTAGGGAAGTTTCTGAAACCCTTATTGTCTAGTTGAGCTTTGGACCCAACTTTTTGTCTAATATGGTAATGAAGCTCTTATCTATCTGGTCAACTCAATTGTCTTCTTGCACATTTGGTTTTCACATCCTGGTGTATCTTGCACTTTTTTCTGCTCTCTTGTGTTTTGCTCTTGACTGCTTGCTTGAGTTAGAGTCATAAAATTGGTATATGGTGTATCATTTATTCATTATCATGTTGAATTTCCCTCCCTCCATCCCAAAAGCAGCAGTAGTCTGGAGAATTACGAAATATTACGTACTTGCTTAATTGGATCTTCTTAGGTTCACAGTTTTTATGTTTAAAATCACTTGTGTCATCTTTATGGCTCTACTGGCTTAATACATCCTGATTGCAGCTGCAAATGTTTTTAGCTTAGCTAGAGCCATGGACTAGGAGCTTCATCATGTTGAATTTCCTTCTAGTTGCTAGACATACAAGATTTCTTCTATTGACCTCTTCTGTATTTCAATTTTTGACATTTTTCACATTGTGAAAGCTGCTCTAATTCGTCATCTATATGTTGTTATCAAGTCCTGAAATTTAATTGGTGATTAGTTGTTACTTCTGCTGCTGTCAGTAAAAGAAGAGAGCATGCAAACTTTAACAAAGTCTAGTAACGGATGCCATGTAGGTAGGCATATGTGTTCCAGTGGACCAATTAGTGGAGAGCACTACAGCCAGCGGCAGGATGAGATTAGGCCCTTCCAAAAACTCTCGTGTCAATCCTCACCTAGTTGTGGCACTCAAAGCCATTCCTGTGAGAGACCCTACAAGTATCAATCGAACTCTAGCCATCTCCAACCTTCTAGCCTACTGTCTGGCAGAGATACTCAAACTGCAGGTGTGCCTACCATTTACTCTACTCAGAGAAATAAATTCATATGTGAGAATGCAGTTGTCTATTATAGAATTTTCGTAGGTTCTTTCACAATATTAGTTGTGCAAGCATGTTGGGGACGTTTCACATGCTGCTTTTATTTTCATTGGAGCAGTTATAAATAACATGATGTTCCTAATTTTGTCACTCTTCTGAGTGAGCATTAATGGAATCTATTGGGAACCAAAGTTTGCAACTTCAATTCTGAAGAGAACTAAAATAAAGCTGAAGAAAGACTTATGTTTGTTTGAGTTGTTGCATTTTGTGATGCTACTAGGGTTCTATGGAAAAGGAAGGTAAACACAAACAGCTTTGTGCTACAGTAGGGAAAGCAAATAAGAATGAAGTATGAGAAATTGTTGATAGAAGTAATGGAAAGGTGCTTACAAAATAAATTGTCATCTTTAATTTGTGACATGTAAAATTAAACATTTATAAATCTGCAAGTTTTTTGGTATCCTAATGAAATGTGAAACATGAAGTCTTGAAGTGTTGATGAATCATAGTTATGTAGACTTCAAGTCTTTTACAAGATCTCATATGTAATGGCAATGATCCAGTATGCTTAATGGTGCTGTTGCTTAAGTACTGATTTTGAATCGTTTCACATGAAGGCCATGTGCATTTACCAATTCATGGAGTCTCTTTTTCCTCGACATGCAACATATGTGAGCATGCTTGCAGTTCAGTTCCAATGGGTTATAATTCCAACCACCACAAGCACTATCAGATGTGCTCCTGTCCCATTCATGAGCATCAATCTTTGCTGAGGTGTTGTGATCAATATCAGCAACATCAGAATTCTTGTCAGCATTACTCACACTCAAGTCAGATGCGGAATACGGAGCCTGATGTTAGAGATGCTGGAAATGCAGGTATCCACATCTGTTTTCAATAGGATTCATTTCATGTGTGTGATCTGGCCCTCTCTTTTCGTGGGTGCAATCTATATAGCTTTCTCGCTTTGGCCACATTCACATTTCTAGTTGAATTCTTCACTGGATCTTAGTGTCCAAGTACAGGAGTTTGTCATTAATTCTATTTGTTAATCTTGTAATCATCAATTTTGGGCGATCAATCAAATGGAGAAATCAAAGAACCTGTCTTTTCCCTTGATACTGGCTCCACTTGTCTCAAGCAGTGGTAGTGATCATTCTATTAGGGTTCTTTATTCCATAACTTGTGTTACTAATTAAAGCTACTTAAATCTTAGCCATCCTGAAGATTTGGGATACATGCTTGTTGGCTCGTCAACCTTGTTGTATCAGATATTCACAATTTTAAGAAAGTTGAATTCTATAGAAATGCTTATTGCACAAAATTCACATTTATCAATTTGTCGTTTGGTCATTTGCATATGCACTCTGCAGTTGAATCTACTGTCAGACATACCGAAGGCAGACTCAGATATCCAATGGCCCCAGTTACTGATGGTAGCAGCCACCAGCAGCAGTGTCAGATGGGTCCAAGCCAAGTGCCATCATCCCCAACGATGCATAGCAACTCATGTCAGCCTCAGGGAAAGAGGTATCAGTGCCAGTTAGACTTTGGTCATTCAGAAAGACCCCTGCCAGAAGACAGGCCAAATATTGGTGGAGCAGGTATGCTCGTTATCATTTTCGGGGTTTGATGCTTAGCCTATTCCTGTTATCAAACCTTCATACTTTATAGTGATATGATGGTATTTTATGTGGATCCACTTTGAGTGCTGTAGATGTGGAATGCATCTTTGGTCCCATGTATGGAGATCATTCAATTGGTTTATATATGCCCTGTTACTGCATTGGTGTTGTATGTAATCTGTGCAGTGGCTAACGATTCAGTACCTTGTCATTTTCCTTCTATCTAATTAATATATACTGTTTTCTCTGGTGAAGAACATTCAAATATCCCACCACATGCAGAATCTACCATTAGACATGAGACTGACTATTCGGGTAGCCCAGATGATAATGATGATAGCAGCGATGAGCAGGAATTTCAGCTAGGCCCCAATGAGTTACAGTCACCCTTATTGGGCCAGTCAGATGAGCCAAAGGAAGATGGCCCCCAATTTCAACCAAGCTCAAGCCAACCAGAACCTCCCATGCCGCAGAGTGGGGCTAATATGACAAATGCAGGTGAGCTGTTCACTATGCTACAATCAGGAAAAGTTCTCTTTCGATATTTGTGCCATCAGATGTTTCATTTGCTGTTTTTGTCCATTAGACCACGCTGGTTTGGAGAGAAAAACTCGAGGGCGAGGACCCACACGGTGCCTTAAGTTGTTGGCAGAAGGGATGCGGATATCAGTCACCACAAATGAACTGGGGCAACCCGTTGGCCCTGAGGCTTCAAAATTGGTTAGCTTTCTGGGCACTCTTGCAAGGAATGGAAATTTGGCACCTCTTACATACGTTGACTGGAGGGCTGTGCCTGAAGAGAGCAAGGAGAATATGTGGGAGGAAGTTTCAGGTAACAGGAACTGTTTCTCTCTTCCTTTGCTCTTTCAAAAACATTAACTGTTCTCAATCATATGATGCAGAAGAAGTTTGAAATTGACCCAAATAGTAAAAGTTGGGTTATTAAATCCCTTGGCAAAAAGTGGAAAGACTGGAAATCCAAGTTGAAGACGGCACATTACATCACTCATGCAACTGATGAGGAGAGGCTAGCTGACCGTGATGAGAGAGTCCTTCCAGAACAATGGGCCTACCTTGTTTCACATTGGAGTTCCGAGGAAGCAGAGGTATCTAGCTAGCATGATTTCATGTGATTTTTATCTTGTGGAAGTCACCGTGGGCTGTTCTTTTTTCCTTCTTCTCATAACTCATCGACTTCACATTGTGGATATCTGAAATTTGTCTCTCATGATAGAAACGGAGTGCTACAAATAGGGCTAATCGTGCACAGCAGAAGTTTGGGCACGTTACAGGAACCAAGAGCTTTGCACGGATACGTGAAGAGCAGGTAAATACGCTCTCTTTGATACTAAATTGCGGAAAGTTTGGCCCATGGTGTTTCATTGGAGTCAATAGGAAATGGTCACAAGAATGATCCTAACGACTGGTGTCTGGAAAAACAGCGTGTTAAGAGATCTGATGGGAAGGCTCCATCTCGGGCAGAGCTATTCATCTTGACTCGCACGCGCAAAGATGGAAAGCCTGTAAATGAAGCATCCTCTGCTGTAATTGTATGGCTGAGCACAAGCAATTTAATAGTTTCTTCAAGTTTTGCCAAGAGTATACAGAAGTATCCCTTTGGATTTGTTTTTAATTGTTCAAGCACTTGATTTTCTTTACAGACCCAGCTTCGTGAAATTGGAAGTCAACGACAGAATGCCTTCCAGAACAACAATGCTGGAGGTGACGTCTTCTCTCAGGTTGTGGGTCGAGATAGACATGGTCGTGTGCGTTGTCTTGGATTGGGTCCATCTCCTTCTGATTTTGTGGGACAAAAACCTACGCAGCTGAGGCCATGAAAATGGTGACAGAGGCGAATGATGAGGTACGCCAGATGAAAGAGCGGTTGGTGGCCATGGAGCAGACTTGTACGCAGATGGCACAACAGATGGCTACTATGATGTCGATGATGTCATCCATGCAGAAAAACTCGACAGCTGACAATGTGCCTGATGTAGTAAGTTCACAATTCCAGCTCAGTGTTTCAGATTTCTTGTACTCTCATCACAGCAGGAGGTTTAAAGTGGAATGTGTAGGTTCAAACACACCAAGAGAAGCTGTAGGTTCAGCATTTTAGCTATTTGCTCTAAGCAGCACAAACATGCATATGGCAGAGAATAGAAACTGGATGGCACTTGGGATGGCTAATTTTGATGCTCTTGTCGTGATAGGTTGTTAATGGCTCAGGCAATTCCGAAGGTTCACCAGATCAGCAAGTACAATCCTTGCCATTAAGACGCTCAGTAGAAAAGGCAAATTTTAGGCGTGCAGCTGCTAAAGGAGCTTTAGTCGCCCTCTTCAGGAAATGCAAAATACTATATTATGTCTGTCACACTAATTTAATTAGATCCAATCCAGTCTTTTATTGGGGCTTTAAATTATACATATATACTTAGATGGGCTGAAGTTTCTTAAAGAATTTCTTTTTCAGCAAATTTCTCGTAGCATTAAGAGTTTGGTGAATTTCTCAGCACCCGTTTGGTTCGGACTCCGGAACAGCAGCAGCAATGAGTATAAAATGATCCTCTAGCTTAGCTCCATGGTTGACATATGCTGGAGGAGGGCGATGTGTTGGCAGAGTGTGTATGCCATGCCATGAGGCACAACAATAAAGGGGGAGATGGAGCATGGGTGTCGTCGTGCAAACGAGTGGAAGAATTTCTTTCTTCTTTTTTTTGTTGTGGTTTGGCGAGTGATCAAGGCAAAAGTGCCCCCCAATCTATGATTCAAGACTTTTTTGGTATAGATTCATTATCGTCATTGAAGAAGAGTATCAAACACTAAATTTATCGGAACAACGCTAATAAAATTTTTAAAAAAAATTCCTTGCAGAGCAAAGTTGATTCTGCTTGCTCTAAGAATGAATGATAGCCCATTAACTAGTTCTAATAGTAATAAATCAATAAACACGAACGTTTTAATTAGTGTAACAGAATTTTGTCAAACTTTTGTAAAATCTTACGAAAGGACATCTAAATGCACATTGCACGAAGACAAATTTGTTCCTTTTTGGCTAAAATCTATATATATAACAGAACATGAGAGATGAGATGGTTTTAGAGTTAAATTTTTTGGCACTTTTTAAAAAAAAAAAATTTATTTCTATCCTGATGTACGCAATGATCAATGCCGTAAGTAATTTTTAATAACTTCTAATATTTCTTTTTTATAACTTTTTAGTAGTACATTCGGCTATATACTTCAGGAGAAGGAAGTGAAACTTACCTTTCCAGGGCACGAGGCCCATGCCCATCTGTTATAAGCCCACCCTATTCTACGCGCAAAGTGGAGAATAGGGAAAAAATAAATAAATAAGGGAAAAAGCAGGAAATCAAAACCAAAGAATTTTTTTTGAAAAAAAAAATCAAAAATTAAGTATTGCATCTTTGGAAGCGCGAGCTCCCGCTCAATCTCTGGTAATCAAGTTTTCAATTCCAAGTCTTAGGAGCTCCGAAATCGAACCGCAACCGCTAAAAAGAGGTTCAGTTCGAAGCGCAACGCAAACCCCAGAAAAGAGGTCCGAAGCGTAACCCAGTTCGTGCTTTCTCTCTTCCTTTCGTGCTCTAATTTTCTGGTCTTTAAGTTTTTTTTTTTTTTGTTTTTACTGTTGTACCATTGTTATATGACTCAGCTTAGATGAACAGAATGCTGTTTTTTGAAATTCTGCTATTGCTCGATTGGAATTCTTTGAACAAATTTTTTTGACAGTATTAGTTTGTTTAAATTGGAATTGAAGCAAAAGAACTCATTTTGTATCTTCAGTAACTGGGAAACCCTTTTTTCCCAGCTTCAGTTGAGGTGTTTAGGGTTTTTCTGTATATTTCCTATTGTCGTGGTGATTTTTTCAATTAAACCAACTGGTTGTTGAACTCTTTTTTTTTTTTTTTTTTCTTGGGTTTTTTTGTGGATGTATTCTGTTGAAACTGCAAATGTAAACAAAATTTTGCATCTGACTCCTTGATTTATTCGTTGACATACACATTATTACCTTTTAGTGAGTATTTGTATGCATTTTTCCTGGGAAGCCTATCATGGTAAAAACTTGTAAGCGTCACTGGGTTAATTAGGGAATCAAGGTAGAAGAGTTACTTGTTCATTGGCCACTTGTATAGCAGTAGTGGTTCGTTGTCCTTTTTAATTGGAATGTAGCAAATTATGATTGCAAATTGCTGTCTCTATGGTTAAGACTAGAAAGCTGTGAGTATTGGGAAACTCGTAGGCTTAGGAGCTGTTCTATCTAGTGTGGTGGAAGGGAAAGCTTTTAGAACTAAAAGGGAGCATGGAGAGTTATTAATGTCTAACTAGAAAAAACCAAGTTAAAGAAAAAGTTGGGTTTTTGAAGTAAAACTCATTTGATTTTAATAAATTGTGCAAAGATGAGTTTTTTTTTTTTGCTGTTATTTTAATGTGGGAAGTTTGGGGCAGGATCACTTTTGTGATGGTATGGTGGTTAAGGTTTTAGAAGAGAGTTTGGTTTATGAATCAGATGGACCACCTCTTGGACACATGAACTTGTGGTCCTTTGTACCTTTGGAATTACTTTCCAAGGACTACATGTCAATGCAGTTGGAATTTACTTGTCATGGACATGCCCCAGGCTCACTGGAATGTTAATCATACTATTCCCTGAGCTGAGGTTGTGGTAGGGTTCAGGTTGTGCCAATCACTGTCTTTGTTGGACAGAAGAGTCACATAACATCAGCATCGGTGTTATGTTCTTCTTTCAGCTGGCCATGCTGATGCTCTGGAACATTCAATATGTGGTCTGACAGTTTTGCTTATCATTTAATGTATTGTTAATATCTAGAGATGTTTGCATTGCTAATACCTGCAGTGATCATTGCAGAATGGAATATATCCCCTTGTTGTGCACTTTAATTGATGTGGCTCTAAACAAAGTAGATTGTTGCCTAGTGTGTCTGGGACTTTTATTATAAGCTTGGAAATTCATCAGTCGAAAGTTAGCTAGTTGGGGGGAATGAAGCGCAGACGTAAGGGTGGTAAGAAAGGCAAAGCAAAGAAACCGAGAACACTTAGTACAAATGAGGTGGCACAAAGTTTGGTTACCTCAAATACAGAAGACAACCCTGTGATGAATGAATTGGACAATGATGAATTTGACTCTGGACCGGAGGCCGAGTCTCCATCTTCAACTGGAGCTGATCTGCCTGAGAAACCACCAATTGTAGATGAAAAACCAAAAACTCTTAATCCTGGCCATCCAAATGATGATACAAAGCCAAAATTAGTTTATGGACGTGTTAAAGTGAAGATCAAAGCTTCAAAAGCATTAGACTTGCAGCTCACTTCTTCAGATGCACCCACACACAGTGATACTGAGAAGAGTGGACAGCAAGTGGAGGTAGAAAACCAGGGAGCTCCCAGTGAAAAGATGGAAGACAGTGCTAACTCATTGCCTGAATCTAACATAGGCAATTCTGGGAATTCATCTAAAAGATCTGGCAGCATAAAATTAAAGTCATCAAGGGGATTTAGTTCATCAAGTATGAGCCCATGTAGTAATGTTGAAATGATGAAGGGAGAGAGTACACAGCAGAAAGAACCTGGGGTGCTCCGCCCGAATACTCAACATGACAAGCAAGAGTTGGATGCTTCTTTGGAGGTACATATGAATGATCTGTTCGTTTTTTGATGTCACGTGTTTCAGAGATACTTCTCGTGAATGAGCTGTTCGTTTTTTGGAGGTACATGCAAATGATCTGTTCATTTTTTGATGTCACGTGTTTTTTGGTGTCACCTGTGTAGGTAATAAAGAAAGTTATGAAGATGGAAGCAGCTGAGCCCTTTAATGTACCAGTGAATCCTGTTGCTCTTGGAGTACCAGTAAGCATTTGTTGCTTTGCAAAGTTTTGTTGCCATCTTATGCTAATGTTGGATGCAGAACAAATGGGGCCTTAAAGACTGTAATTTGCTATACAGTATGCTGATAGTTGTATTTGAGAAACTTCACAGAAAATGTTGCTCTAATCTTTTACCCTATATGGTACAACTTGTTTTAAATACTTGGAGTTTTGAACATAGTACTGTTGTATTTGGTGAAAATGTTGCGTGAATGCTTAAGTTGGAACGTGTTACTAATTTCAGCGAGATGTCTTTCATGATTTTCATTTTATTTCTTTGTTTATCTTTCACATAAAGTTTTTAACATCAATTTATTGCCAAATGGGGCTGAACCAGGACTATTTTGATGTCATTGATACGCCTATGGATTTTGGCACCATATGCAGTAATCTCGAAAGTGGTATCAAGTACATGAACTCTGAGGATGTCTACAGAGATGTGCAGTATATATGGGATAATTGCTACAAGTACAATAATAAAGGTGATTACATTTTGGAGCTCATGAAACGGGTGAAGAAGAACTTCATGAAACATTGGACTGCAGCTGGCTTATACAGCGATCATGCAGAGGGAACCAATGGTAAGATTTATTTTATCTAAGGGGCCGTTTGGTTTAAGGATATTGGAATCAAGATTTGAAATAATGCCGATTTCAGTGTTTGGATATAGGTATGGGTTTGAGATTTTGGAATGAATTCCAAAAATCGGGCAACTCTCCATTCTGACCAAATTGAGAGGTTTTGTGAATTCCCTTTATTTAATTCCAAAGCAGATTTATTAAACATTTTCCACATTCACACTTGAACGACCCAATCGCTAGCACTCTTTGCTTTCCTCCACACCACTGACAACCCTTCTCCTCCACTTCCAATCTACTAGCCGTTGCTCTTTGTCATTCCAGCCACACTCCTCCATCCTTTCCACCACCATAGCCCGCAAGGCCCTAGGAATATGGGAGAAACTTCTATTTCACAAAAGTATTTCATCCTGATGGCTTTGGCATGTGATGAATTTTTCTGTTTTCTGGTTATTAGTCTCCCTAGGACCGTTGTTGATTTTTTAGACTGAAGTGGTAGCGCTAACGGACATGTAAGTGGTGGAGTGATTGCTGCAACCTCCCTCTTTCTTCTCTCCCATGGTGAAATCCCTTCAGCTATTTTTATTTTTGTTTTTTTCTGTTGAATCCTATTCGTCTTTGCTATAAATCAGGTCTTTTGATTTTGAAGTTTCATGAAAATTGATCAATTGTCCAAGTGATTTTGAGTTCCAAGAAAATTCATCAATGGTCAATGGGTTAAGTGCTGCAATAATGTGTAAAAGAGGAACGAAGAAGAAAAGTAAAAATATAAAAGAAATTAAAAGTACAATTAAATAATAGACAATTTAATGTAATACCCATTCCTTGTTAATATTTACCAAACATATGTTGTTGTAATGATACCTTTGACCAAAACCCATACTAATTTTTTAGATATTATTCCAATTAAATTCCAATTCCAACCAAACGCTGAGTAAGCATTTTATTTTTTGACTTCGTTGTGAAAGAATACTATGTGTCTTATTTCTTATTATATCTCATCTCTATGCTTGTGTATTGGGGTTCAGCTGTCTATTGACAATATTAGAGAACCTTTAGATGTGCTTCTTTTTATTGACAAGGAACATACAGCAGCTGTTGGTATGCTGACATGGTTCAGTTCTTTGACACAAATCGGACCCTTCAGTTTCTTCCGTATGATTGTTTTGTATTCTATTTGCTTAGTTCTTAACTGAATGGTTCTACATATTATAGTTTGTTTCAGTATTGGTAATTGCTGTTTGAATTGTGCAAGTACAAAAGTGAATGATAGGTTGTTTCCGGTTGAAAGTAATGGTAATGCTTAAAAAGATTATACATAAAGGTTTGAGCATGGCTCAGAAATCATTTGTTCAGTCTGTTCTTACCTACTGCTGCAAACAAATTCAAAATATACTTTTTAATGCCTTTCTTCTTGCAGGCAGTGATACAATTCAAGCAATGGATGTGACTCCTTCCATTCACGGAAAGATGCCTGTAAAAAATGGTGCCTTGAACGCTGCATCAAAGAAGCGCCATGGGTATGTTTCTGCAGGTTATCTTGTATGAATTTGAACTACATTTTGGTTTCAGTTGATCCCTAAATGATTAAATAACTGACATATCAAAATAAGAACCTGAGAGCTTATTGGCCTGTTTGTTCTGAAACTAAATGGTTGATGATCATTTTGAGTGTTTTTGCTAATTGTCTGCAGATATGCTAGTATTAAACCATTTAGCATGGACTGATATCACTATTTGAAGAGAGACACATAGTTCAATGTGTTATTGGTTCTTCTGTCTCTCCCTTTCTCTCTGTCAATTTATGATTATTTTGGTTTATCTAGATTGACATGTCCCTTGATTCTGCTGCACTATATTGTTTGATGAGATTTTTGTTCTTCACTTACTATTAACAAGCAATGAATTCCTTGTGCCCTTTCTTTGTTCGTTGTTATTTTGGAATAAAACTATGAATATAGACAAGTATTATAGAAAGGACTAAGAAGTGCAAAAATGCTGGAAACTGGTTTAGAAGTCTCAAAGTAAAATAAAATGATAAAGACAGAGTAGAACACAGAGACAACTAGGTAGAATTAATTATAAATTGGGGAGTGAAGTCTTTATCACTCATTGTGCATAGGTATTATACAGGAAAGAAAAGGTTCTCTTGCTTATTGATGCAATTTTTTGTTAGTTTCAATTTCATTAACTACTTTGAATGTGAAGTACAAGATTTTTTTCAGGCATTACTAGCTTAGTCACTCGTCAGTGGTGAGCTTCACTTGTAATCCTTTTGTAGCTATTTTGAGTTGATGTGATTTTACAATGTATCCAGTCTTAAAAAGCACAAGGACGGTTGTCTTTGTGCTATCTGTGTAATGATGCGGCGCAGACAGGAGCGCGAGGAGACTTCTCGAATTTTGGATGATCAGTTTGATGCTGGTGATGGTTATACGATGAAGAGTTTAAGCCAGAGGTATATTTATTCATCGCCTTTGTTCAGTGCTTTTTGGTTAAATGTTTAGAAAGTCATAACTATACCACGTCTGTGTCGGATTTTTGAAAAACAGCTTCTTTTTTTTTTTTTTTTTCTATGACCTAGTTTTAGGAACTGCTGGTAGCTAAATCTCTATATTGACTTTAGCAAGCACCACAATGTTCTTGCTTAAGCGATCTGCTGTTAGATGTATGTTTGATTCTCCATCCTTTGTTAATGTTTGCTCTACTGTTTGTGGCCATAGCTTCGTCAGTTTCCTTTTGCTCATGCTAAGTGGTGTCTCCACAGGTCTTCTTTGAACATTCTTTGCTAGGCTTCTTTCACCTTTTTTCAGTTGATGCTACTGATACTTTTGTATTCTAAATCAGTAGAGACATCAGACATGAAAGCATGCACTATTTGTCCAAATAAATTGGATGACCAGTAGCTAAGTGTAGAGTTCTTGGTGGTTGTCCCTGGTCTATTGTGGAGATGGGTGGATGGGTGAGGTTATGGGGCTTTGAATTGTGTTCCGCTGAACTTGTGGGACAAGCTAACTATTTGGCTTTACAGGGGATTTTGGTTGAAATTTCTGATAGTAATCAAATGTCGTATCTGTTAGTTTACAGTCTGCTGAGCTTATCTGTTTTATGAGTCGTGGTCCCTAGGGGAGGTCACAGCAACTGTGTAGAACACATAAGAACCATCAGGAGCATTATTCTGTATCTTATACCATGTCATAATTATGTTATCTTCTGGTTTGAAGGAAGCTTCACCTACAGGAAGTCCTGGTGGAGATTATTCTTTAGCAAATATGGACAATTCGCAAGAACAGGTTGCCGATGCTGACCTTGAAGAGAAAGGAGATGAAATGAAGTTGCAGGATACTGAAAATATATCACAACAGCAAGAGGACAAGCCTGAGGATGAACAAGAGAATTTATTGACAGATGAAGGAAAAGAAGAAGGTGAAATTTGTGAGCAGTTGGATCAGAGATCTAAAGACGAGCATGATGCACAAAACCATCCACCAAATCTGGAGTCAGGTGATGACTTGTCAAATAAAGCCAGCAGGGAGAAAACACCTCTACAGCATGAAGATAATACTGCAGCAATTGAGCAACGGAAGACTAAGGTGAGAAATGACTATATCTGCTCGATAGGCTCAATACTAAGAGGTTGGTTATTAATCTTTAAAATGTAGTCAACTGAATATTGTAAGAGAAGCAAAATAGAAAAATGAAAGAAAAGGCATTTGTAGCTCCTATTGCATACTTTTAAACAAAACATTTAAGTTGAAATTCCGTACATTTGGTCACACTAAAGAAAACTATGAGCTACACAGATCTCTGTTTACTTTGTCAACTTATATTCAGTCAATGTATTTAAAGACTCTTTACAAGCATAGAGGACAATACCTTTTGTTTGCCTTGTAGATATGAACAACACACTTGTTTGTCCAGGTATATGGCTAGCAGAATTGTTTCATGACCATTGTTGTCGCTAATGGTTTTTGGCTTGAAAACTGATATGCTTTAACTTTCCAGCACACTTTTGTCGCTCAATATGTCACCAAAAATGACACGATTATTAAATTTTCGCCTCACTCCTTGGTAAATTGGAGATATTCTAACTCTGGGATATGGCGCTTATTGTTCACAGGAGTTGCTGGACAAGAATCAAAGAGCTAAAATGTATGAGAGACTCCGTTATTTGGAAAATCCCATGCTTTTTGAGTTATGCGGCACCCTTTTTGATGATAAGAATAAATCTGTTTGGACGGGACCGCATTCTCTTGTTCATCAGGAGCGTTTTCCTCGCAAGAGCTCCATTCTTGCAGCTATTACTTCATTTATGAAGTAGCAAGTAGCTGCGGACATCGTTTCAGCAATTCAAGGAGCAAATCAAAACTATGAGTGCGTCTTTTCTTGGCTTTCAAATTTACACCAGGACCAAGGAGTTAATGGTTGCTTGAGAATCTTTGATGTTTCATACATGTTGAACGGCGAAGTGCTTTTATGTGATTTATTCCATCGCAGTACCCCCACTCCTTCCTCCGAACTGTCTTCTACTCTTGTTCCTCTTTGGAGTGAAAAGATGTTTGGAAAATCGAATGCAGTCAGTCACCTGATCACCTCTGCGGTTTGAATTGATGGTGCGTTAGCCCTAGCATCAACAGGCAACAGAGCTGCAGAAGTTTTATCTCATTTTAATCAACTAAGTTCTGGCTACATAAAGGTCCTCAGGCACGACATAGTGAGCATGTTTGGTAACAACCAGAAATATCGCTACTACTAATATAAATGAAAAAGGACAAAATCTATGCATCTTGCATGAGCTAACAAAATTAATAGAGTAATTTGCGGCTCCTTTCACAATTTAAATCAAGACACAAAGATGCTATTCTTGTTTGCTTCATAAAGTCGGACAACTCTCAATAGCCCTTCTCAGTCTATCCTAAGAGAGACACAAAATGAGTGTTGTATACCCAGGAAGCAGAACTCTTCACGGCTTCTGGTAAAACATGAAGTTAGGTGCACTTAATGAGTATATCAAACACACAATGCAATGTCATCTAAGCAGCCATGAGAATTGAAACAATCGGGTGTTATGCAAGCAAATGATAGAATTGGTGAAAAATCATCATGAAACAGAGTCCTTCCTTGGAGATGACCAATTCACATATCTGAAGCCAGATCGAACTTAACATGTCCAAGGTTAGAGTCACTGCTGGGGCCATCGGACTTGCTGCAGCTACTGTCTTTGCTTTCAGAATGCGTTCCACTGAAATGAAGCATGGCATGACAAATAAATCCGAAAATTTACTAAATAAACATAGACAATACCGTCATTTACTGTTAATACCGTCATTTACTGTTAAGTTTCCGTTCAACAGATTTGAGAACACCAACAGCAACCTAACCTGTTCAAAAGCTTTAACTTCAGAACACTGGGCGTTTGAATTGTCACTAGTAGTAGACACATATTATGATGAGAGACCGACACAAACTGGGATTGAATACAGTAAGAATGGTGACCCCAACCTGGTGGACAGGAAAGAACGTGCTCGTGCAGTTACCACAAAGCAACGATGCTGTTTTCTCATGCCAAATGTTGGAATAGGCTCAACTTGAGAGGTGATTGTTGAAGAAACATGTGAAACCTCAGATTTCTGATTTCAGGGAGGTTGCAAAAGAATCTTCTACTAAATAATTGCTCTGTTCTCTCTCTTTGATAGAAGGGAAGATAGAGGTGAAACAACCTCAGTAACATTCAATTCATCCAAAGATCTGATTGGCGACTTTGCCTGACAAACAACCAACATCATAAAAACAAGATAAAAGGCACCTTGCAGATAAGTTTTATCATGGATGATTCTGAATGTCTTAAACCTACAGTTCCTGCTTTTCTCGAGCCATGCTGTCGGAAACTTTCAAGAGTGCTTTCTAAGTAAGTTTCCAATCCAAACCAAATTTTGTCAGAAGCTTCCAAGAATGCTTTGTAAGTAAATTTCCAAACCAGACAAAAAATAATTTTTTTATCCATTTCAAAGCATTTCAACTTTTTTTTGGCATCTGAACATGAGCTTTAGAACTAGAAACTGATCAAGTATTACACGGAACTTTGTAAAATAACATAACTGAGCAGTCAGACGATATAATCTGAGGTGCCATATGGTTAACCTCGTAGATGAAGGCCAGAGGCATCATATGCCAGAGACACTGCAAAATGTAAAGTGATGATAGCTATCTAGGATATAAACAACAAACCTGACATGCAGCAGCCCTGAAAGAACTGAAATCATGACGTCCAACTAAAACTTGGCATGCCTTGAATTAAGATCAAAGTGAAACAATCTTAGCCATCAAGGTTATACAGCAAAAATCAAACTCAGAAAAAAAAATCATCAAAAAAATCAGGTCCAACCTGCATAGATAGAAGGTCTAGTTCGTCCGCAACATGCCAAGCACGGTCTTTTTTCAAATGTTGACAAAGGTTCGGGACCAGACAGTAATCGATAGAAGTACCTAATGAAGATTTCGAGACAATTTAAAACTCACTACAAACTAAATACAAGCTTTGCTTGTCTCCAAACATTAAGTCCAAATGTTGGCAACCAATGCTAAAGTAGGTAGGAATGTAAGAGGAAATAGCGAGAGTACATAGTCAAATATTCCAGTACACTATTCACACTATAAGCATTAAGTGTTAAATCTGACTGCCAAAATCATGAGAAATGTTAACATAGCATACATAATTTTAGTCGCAATCTTTGTGAATAAATACAAAGCACATAGCTATATTTTGATTATCATTTGCAGCATAGTCTATAACAGTTCAAAACACACAAGAATCCTCTCTGCTTCCAAGGTACGCATATTCTAGAGCATTTGGACTAGCTACACCTTCATATTTTAACTGAATCCTATTCAACGCAGAGATTCAGAACTCTATGAATTGCTGATCATACATGAAAGATCATGCATACAGTTCCCACAATCCATGTAAAGAAGAATTCTTATACCATATATAGCAGCATCAATATCAAAGTTTGGAACTGTTGATACCTACGTGCGTTCTTGAGCTTTGTATCTAGAATGAAAATCAGATGGAACACTCTGAACATCAATGACCATGATATCACCCTCATTCTTCTGGAGCAAAGCAAAGAGCAAAATATGTCATCATTTCCTTCAATTAAGGGCATTGGACATGATGCGTGAAGAACTAAATTACAGCCCTAACTTCCACTGCAACACGGGACAATGAAGATCCATTTTCAAGATTAGTTCCAGAAAAGCTAAGATGCTCAAGCACCAGTAAACAGAAAATTATGCAAATTTGACACTGTAAATAGCAGCATTTCTCAACCAAAGCAATTATACAAGGGGCTTGTGCAAAAGTTTTCTGCCAGCTATATCAAAATAGAGGCTGAAATTCTCATTGTCTTTATACAGTAGTTGACACCATGATCCTTTCAGAGCTCGAAAGAGTCACAAGGGACAGCAGTTTTCATGCATAGCTAAAATGGCACAAGCAACTGATAGGGAAGGGGAATAAAAGGAGTATTAAGGGTTTAATCTCATTTGACAATATATTTTACCCGGGCATCAGGAATGATGTGTAAGTTACCAAGGGATGATTTTCATCAGAAAAACAATTTGCAGCACTAAGCACAAGGAATCTACCGACTATTTGTACAGCTTATTGTAAATTAAACATAAACTAGAAAAATCAAAGGTAACTGCAAGCGGACAAGTATAAGAGGGAAATTCTGAAATGAGAGTTTTGCATAGAACATAAGTTTACCTGTAAGAAATGGTTGACAGCTTTCTTGACCACACATGGGAGGTAACACCAAAAGAGAGAGAGAAAAAAAAATTGTGAAAGAATTGATGAGCTACCCAGCCTAAGCTTAATCGACTCTAGACTTGAAAACAAAAAAAAAAAAAGGCAACAACAGTTATCAATGCAAGAAAAAAAATCAGAAAGATTTTGAATTCTACAAGAATTTACCGTTTCACCAGGTTTCCTTTTGCTTATCCTTTCAACATCTACATGGCAAACATTTGATAAGGCATGAACTCCTGCATCCTAGAAATCCATATAAGAATGTTAGAGCTGATATGGTACATGAAAGACACTGATTTTGTTGGCGATGGATTGTTCACAAATGCAAGAAGAAACACCAGTATTGACCAAGACAATAACGTAAAAGACTTAAAAACACGAATACATATAGGAAAGCATGCATGAAACCTCTATTGGAAGCAATTCACTGGACAAGTCACAAAATGCATAAATTTAACCAAAATAAATAATGGAAGACAATTCAAGTACCACATCTTCTGCAGTCTCTCAATAGTCATTGGCCATGCACCTCAACACAAAATTTACATAGCCCCATTACTAAAGGGTAAACCATTCTGCAAAAAGGAATCCCCTTAGAGAGAGAAGCACAACTTACGTTCGGCTAGAGCAAAATATTGAAACAGGCTGTCCAATGAATTTGTGAAAAGCCTCCTGAAAACACCAAAAATGAAATATAACTACAATAGTGATAAACACTTCAGCAGTTTCCGACATTAATGGTAGAAACAATTTAAATCATTACCTCCAGAACGCCGACGACGGTGCGGCAATTGGATTGCTGCTGAGCTCCGGCGAAGCGGGTCCCAATATACTCGATTGCAATCAAATAGCGCTGAACTCTAGGGTTCGGATTCATTTTAGTTTCGGTAACTATCGGGCCTTTTCGCTGATTCTCTTCTTCTTCGCAGCCGGATTCTCCAATGGGGTTGACTCTGGCGATTTTCTGAGGACGTTCGGGGAATGATTTCCCGGGCGTCGATTGAGGACTGCCTTGATTGATCGGCGCTCATTGGTGGCCGTCGTTGGGAGCTTTCAGGCAGGGTGTATTCGTAATTCCAGGGTTTAAGTTTTGGCGGTTGGAAATGACTAATGAGGACAAGTGGCGTCTCAGGCAGCGGAGACAAACACCGCACTTCAGAAAGGCGCAGAATTAGATCGCCTCTCAGTTCACGCCTATTGTAACCCGCTTTTGGATTGCTTTAAATGGTCTTCTTAACTAGCAAGGCCCCTCTGTATCCTATCCTTGAAAAGCTTTTAATATTGTAAGAAAACCACGCCTTTTGGCCATCAGCCTGAAAGCCTAAACTGCAGGCAGGAAAGATTTCACGCCTTCGTTTGCTCATTACTCGTATATCTTTGCGATTTTGGCAGCCAGGAAGGATTAGAAAGCTGAAGGATTGATGATAAAAAAATAATTCCAAAATAAAAAAAAGAAGCGTGATTTTGCATCCCTCTTGTGCTAGTAATAAAAATAGTAGTCTTGTTTTAGATTTTCATAGCCCTCTTGTGCAATGATTATGGAAGTTTCCACAAGACTAGTAGATGATTTGAGAAATTTCCTAAGATGTGAGAAAATCAATTAAGACCTTATATTTGATCTCTCAATCAATCTTTCCTTATGTTCTTGAAGAGTAATTAATATATGGTACGTAAATCACAAACGGGGGGACTGCCTTTTTTTCTTTTGTTTTTTTAGCAAGGTAATATTGCACATACCATATATACATCACCAATCAATTAACGTTATATGGACAGTGATACACTTCTTGGAAATTAAGCAACTCCATGATATCTATCTATCTTTCTTATATAAAGGTTGTGAACAACTCCATTCTTTTCCTAAATCCGGTTAAGGCAAGCCACGCTGAAGAATCAATCAAAGGTAATTTCTTGAGTTAATTATTATACTTTCTACTGTTTTTTTTTTTTTTGGTTCCCTAAGAAAAATTGCTTTGTGGCCACGATTCAAAGCTAATTTCTTCAACAATTTTTTTCCGCTAAGATAAGAAAACTTATCTTTGTTTGCTGTTTTCCACCATGCATGCATGTTGGAGTAATTAATAGCTATGGTCAGGGCATTCATATATTGAAATCATCCCTCCCTAGCTTCCATGGATGAATAAATCTTTATTAATAATGCTAGTTATAAATCATAGCAAAAAAGCTCAATAAATGGTTGAATATATAAATCCTAATTCATAATCAATGTCGTTTCTTTCTTTTACTTACTGGTAAGACTTTAGATTTTCATCCACATATATATATATATATAGTGTCAATATATAAATATCGCTTGCTTGCTTGCTTGCTTTAATAATGTTCCGTTCCGTTTGTTTCACTACTTTCTAGTTTCAATTTCTACCACTTGTTGTAGTGATCGATTATCATGGGCCGTGCAAAGTTGAACATGGAACTGATTGGGAAAGAAAAATCACGGCACATAACTTTCAAGAGAGAAAGGAGGGGTTGCTGAGGAAGATTCATGAGTTCGCTACTCTATGCGACGTGGACGCATGCATGATCATCTACGGCCCTAAACAGGAGAGCGCTTCCATGGAGTCCGGGATTTGGCCGGAAAATTCTGATGAAATCTCGGCGCATGATCGACACATACCAAGGCAAGTCTAAGGACAGTGCAACGAGGGTCTTCGTTTGCAGGATTTTTTCCAGGATAGGAACAAGAGAGTGGAAGACGAACTCGATAAGGTGCGCAAAAAGGCCGCGGAAATACAGTACCCCACTTGGATTGATCCTATGAGCCATCTTTCAGAGATGGAACTGAGAAAATTCGCTGCAGCGGTGAGCGATAAAATTGAAGTTGTGGACTCCAGGATGGAAGCAATATGCAGGGGATATGATGATGATGATGATGATGATCATCTCCATCATCATCTTCTCCTTCATAACCACCACCATAACCATTATAGTCAGATTCAAAACAGGTATTTAATGACGGAAGGATCACAACAGCAGCCAACGATTGATTTCACAGCAGCAGCTACGTCCTACAACAACAATGACAACGCAAGGTTGTCTGGATTGATCCAGAGAGGAGTTGAATTGGAGCTTATGAATCATCAACAAGTCAGCATTGGCCCTGCTCCGCTGAATCCAGTAGAGATGCACGTACCTATGGCACACTACCCTGCTGCGGCTACTATTCACCATCAGATGAATGAAAATGAGCATCATCATCACCATCATCAAGCGCAATTGGGGGGTAGTGCATCTAGTATACAGTGCGCATCATTCAAGTATTATGGATCGAGTTCCGGAGGCGGCGGCGGCATGGTGGCCGGCAGGGTGGTGGGGTGCTTGATAATATGGTATATAATCATCCCAGGCCGTTGGCTCGCTTACTATGGTCAAGCGTGCAACCGGTGGTGGCACGTACGTGCAATATCCCCATTTGATGCCTAATGTTTCACCCCAAATGCAGTCTTTGAGGGAGAATGACTACAATGATATGATTCACTATCGGGTGATGGACCAGAAACCACCAAGGCACTAGTTATTGATTATTAATTATTTTACACTACTTTGCATTTTAAATTAAACGCTTCGTAATGGTCTTAGTTTTTCTGGAGAATACTATTTATATATATTATTATGACAGCGTGCACTCTTTTGATGTTTGACGAGAGTCAGTAGTGGCATGAGGTTTTAATCTAAATCTAATGCATTACGTGTTTTTGCTATGTTGGACTTGGCTACTAATTATTTTACGCTGAGGTTGTTTCTTTTATTTTGGTAACGGAGAAGATAAATTTTATGGAATGATGCAACAGTTGACAAGATATTCGCGAGTGAGTGACAATTAATATTTTTTTTGTTTTACCAAGGATGAAAATTCTTTTGCAACGTAACGTTTCGGGTTCGCGCAAGCTTTTTAAGCTGCTCCGATCGTGCATGATTTTTCACCGCACTAGCTACTAATGGAGTTCGTTAAATCGAGCTTCACGTTCGGGTCTCATTTGATCTTGTCGAGTAACAGATCCTGATTAATTTTGGTCATGCTTCGTGATAATTTACTCAGCTCGTTCCCGAAACAATTTACCAAAGCCCAAGGCCCGAATGGAATTGTTCCAGTTCCCACCCACCTGAATCTTTAATTTACTTTTTTGTAGCTGTTTTTCAGCCGGTCGCCGAGCGCAAAAGACAGTCACAATCAAAATTATTGCAACCATACCACACAGCCATGATGATGACGATGATGGTACGAACCCCACATTATAGGATTATCATGTTGAATTTGGGTTCGCTTTGCCCTTGACTAAAATCTCTCCTGAACAACAAAAGCTAGGCTAAGGAGGACATGCACCATTTTCCACTCAATGCTCAGCCAAATAGGCGCAATCCGCCGTCATCCAGTCTCTCCTCAGAAACGAACTTCCTATATTTCACTACGAAGGCAGGCAAGAAATTAGCCAGTTTGGACGCTAGATTTGCTGATGGAAGAACGGCAGTAAAACAGAGCGAGGCGAAATCATTCCTTAACCTAACCAGGAACCGCATAGCATTGAGAAACCTAGTCTTCACGTCAGTAACAGAAACGCAACCCAGAGGGCAACAGATAAACTACCGACAATAAGCAACCAAAAACATTAATCTGATGTCAAAAGACTAAGCAAGCAAAATGGAGATGAAACATCTCCCTTCGCAAAAATTAAGAGAAAAACATCAATTAAAAAAAAAAAAAAAAAAAAAAGCCAACCAGATTTAAGACCCAGCAACATACAAGACATCAAAGCGCCCCTCTAAACTAGATTCAGGTAGAAAGCAAAAGAAAAATAAGTATAGAAAACAATGAAAAACCCCTGTGGTGCTTTAAAGCTGTTCTGACAACTAAATCGCCTTTTTAAGAGGCGCTTTGTCTTCTATCTAGTTCACACAGTGCTCTTCAGCGGGAGAGGAGGATTAAGTGAGAGGTCTTTTGTGAGATTGACTAATGATGGCATCAAATCCGTCCCATTTGTCTTGCAGCCTTCCTTAAGGGGCTTCTGCAAACCAAAATAAGAATTGGTTGTTAAAATGTATACATTAACAACACCCCCCCCCCCAAAAAAAAGGGATAGGGCCATGGGAAACTAATCTAAACACTAAATTATACATCCATCACTTCATTTACAGTTGTCTCGAGTTAGAACAAGACATTGCTTTCAATTAACAAAAGGGCACACCCCATGGATTGTTGTCCCCCATCAAGCCCCCATCTTGGATGAAAATAAATTCAGTTTCAAGCTTCAAAACATGGTCTACAGAAAACATCTAGAAATGATTACACAGAATATTTACTGCAGCAGAGGATGCAGTTAGAGACTCGGGGGAAATACCAAACTCAATTCATATTATATTAACACCCAGAAATATTGACATGATTCTGTCTATTTTTGGGCACAGAGAGAGAGAGAGAGACTGACTGGACTATCATCCTCCTTGAGTACATCAGTCTGAAGAGTTGGCTTTGTGCTTCTATGGGCTTTTAGCGACTTCTCCCGACCTCCGTAGAACTTGAAATCATCTAACAGTGACGTCTTAGCAGAATAACTTTTGAAGATGCTGAGCATTTCTAACCCTTGCTTCAGTCCAATCTGAAATAGAAGCGATATAGAAAAGCAATTTTATACTCCAAAAGTAAAGGAATAAAGACAAAACACTTTCATCTTTGGACACAATATAATATAACCATACATGTATGCATACAAAAGCACCTACAATATGAAAGCTTAATTATACAAATGAACTCATAATAAAAAAAAGAACTAAGTGCTACCTCCTGAGTGTCCCTGCTGTAGGTAACAGCCCTGTTATCATTGTTTTCCAAGATTATGTGCCGCAACAGACTATTGGGGACATCTTTAACTATGTGCCACTTGACAGGGAAGAACCCATTCCACTTGTCAAGCTGCCAAAAGTCCATGTTTTTGTTAAAGTCGACCTGCCCAACCATCTCAGCTACACCTAGAAACTGTCCACTACCATTCACCTGGAAACGAAGTGTAAACAGATTAGAAAAACCAATCATTGCACAATAAACAATAAGACACAAATTATTTGGTAAATGGCACACAAACAAATATACATGCGACAATTTGAAAGATGTATTTACTCGAACAGATCCAGTAGATTATGAAATCCAAGAAACATCCTTAAGAAAGTATACACATAAACTCACTGAAAAGAACAGGAAAATTGGACATTTGGTGCCCTTTTCAGTTGCTTTAAACTCAGCATCACGGAAAGCAGCATCTAGTTTCTTGTTGCCATTTGGAGTGCTAGACCAGACATCATATTTAATGCATTTGTGAATATCATCTTCACTGTATGACTTGATGACATAAAATTTTCCATTGTCATACTCGCATTGAAAATCCTCCAAATTGTATTTATCCCTCTGAACAGTCAGCTCTGCTTGTTCATCATCAGCTGACAACTTTGAATGCTCACTCTTACCATTCGCCCTAGGACCACGGCTCAGCTCATTTGAAGCTTCATTTTCTCCTTCTCGCCTAAAATTACTTCTTGACCTAGATCTTTGATAGGTGTTCCAAACTCTACCATTTGGTTGGTAGTTCATTGGACCATAGTGCATATAAAGGCCTCTATTTTGGTTGCTGAATGCAGACAACTTCCCAGCAGGGTAAACCCCATTCATATTCTCAATTGACGGGAAACCAGGACCTAACTGGAAGAGGAGACAAATTACAAAGTCGAATTACAAATTTCATGATGACAGAGTAACATATCATGCATGCAAAAAATGACTAAACAATTTATTGCGGCCTAGGTGACCCAGAAAAATATATTTAAAAAGTCCAACTTTTCTCCCAAAGAACAAAAGGGACTAAAATACCACTAAATCAACAAAACCTTGGGCATAATACTAATTTCTGATTTCAAGCCCGCCTAGATGTAACCACCAAGCGTGCAACTCATACCATATCTAACCACTTGCAATTACAAAAATCTTGTTGTAACTTGCATGTGAACTAGTCTTTTCAAATACTTAAACACGCATACCAAACAGATTCTCATAAAGAGCATACCTTGTTCAGTGGTTTGAGAGGTCTAGTGTGAGGGAAGGACTTGCAAAAATCAGATGGCAATGTAAATTTTCGAGCTTTTGAATTCAAAGGCACAGTTGATGAAGAATTAATTGTTTTGAAGAGTTAATAACGCTCGAATTGACAGACTCATTCTGGCCAAAGGCAGCTTTTACATCGTCAGTTTTGCTAACAACTCTATTCTTGACATCTCCAACATACATCGAATCCCATGTATGAGGTGGCAAGGCTTCAGATCCATATGAGACCGGTTGCTGAAAATATCCAGATGATACATAGGGGAGCTGTTCCCCATCAGCACCAATAAACCCAGTGTTGTAAGGATTATAGCCAGGCAAATAATAGAGCAGTGAGCTATTGTCTGATGGGATACCCTGCAAATAAGCAAAAGTTAGATGTCACAGACTAGTGCTCTGGCATATAAAGTTAAAGAAGAAAAAAATGCACGCTAGAACATACTGAGTAACCACCACCCATGGCAAGATAACCTTGATCATCCAATTGATTAAAGGTTCCATTATACCCTGCAAAAAAAAAAAGAATTGACGAAATGTAAGACTCAACAAAAAGAAAAGCACCCTACAACATAACCAGATTGCCCTGGATTTGTTACAAAGAAGGCATTAGATACGTACCCACAACCTCCCCAGTACCAGTTCCTTTCAATTGTCTTGTTCTTGATCTATTCATTTTCCCATTGCATCATATTGATCTGCTAGGAATTCACAAGACCTATGAAGCCACTTAGTTTTGAGTTCCATAACGCCCTTGTTCCAATGGATTACTATATACTACATGCATACACTTTTATGACAAAGTCTAACATCCTCATGTGCCATTTCATTAGAAATATGTTTTAATGCATACTGAGTGGGGGTTAATCATATGACAATGTGCAAACCATGAGATACTCTTAACAAGCAAATAAATGCAGTACTCACAGCTTATGTTTAGGAAAAATAGGTCTCAGAAGATAGAACAGCCATATGTCTCATTTTACTCAAAAATAATGTATGACACAATTGAAAATAATTTATGAAGGACAATACTGTGCAATTGAAAAATAATGATGAGCTCAGGTACTGGCATATCCCTTCATATTTGATATACTTGCAAAACAAAGAAAAAAGGTTGAATATTCAGTTTTCCATCCAAAGAAGGCATCAAAAGACAGGCATATGCTCTGTTCACTCCTTCCATCTTATGACAAGTTAAAAGCATTGTAACAGTTTGAAAACTCAGAGAAGGGGGAGGGACAACACCCAAATGCTCAAGTCCTGAAATTATCCTAATTCAAAACTAAAAGTTTTTTCCCAACACTGGCTAACCTGAAATCAAAAAGAACCGTATTTAGTAACAGAACCCATGCAATATCTGACCTGGGTAGTAATAATTGTAACAGCTAGTGGGTGGATAATAAACACCTTGCTCTGCATCTAAATTTTGATTGTCACCCTTGAGGCCAGTTGTAACATCCCCCAAAGTAGGCAAAGGAGAAGCCGTGTCAGAGCTAATCCATTTTTGTTTGAAGCCTAAGGTGCAGAAGAAAACAAAAACCAAATATAAGCCAAAGAAATTACTTGGTGGCTTACGCATACACTTCCCTGGTTAAAATTTAATAAATGCATGCAACGTAAAACTACAACATGTCGCTAGGATGAGTAAAATTTGCACGAGGAACAATACAACCTTATAACTTTATCAAAAAAAAAAAAGACAATAGCCAACAGCAAAAGGCAAGATATATAAAAATAAACCACTCAAAAAGGATGAGCGAAAAGAAAAGAGGGAAAAAACTATTTCGACGCGAAGTGAGCAAGGAAAAAATACCAAGCATGCTCAAGTAAGCAATGGTAGGGGGGACAGGCTTACCATATCTTTCTCAGGTTTAACAGCAGCGGAATCAGGCTTCAGACCTTGAACCATTTGCTCAGCTGTAGAATAAAGTTAAAGAGTAACAATACCCTTTTCAGGAAGATAACAGTCAATTGCAAGGAACTTTTAGAGCATAAAAACTTGATTAATTGAAAGAAATTCTGTCACTTTTCAATCAAAGCAAACATTAGATGACACATTAAAAGTTCCAAAAATATAAGCAGACTGTGTGATACACTGTAAATTCACCCAATGACTATCCATTAACCATAGACAAAGGATACAATTCTCTATGATCCTCTCTCCAGCCATTTGCGATCTTCAAAATCAAAATCCTTGCCTACAACCAAGTACAACTCAGCAGGAAAGATCACTGGAATGAAGCAGAGTAACAACAAAGCGGCACAGACACCAAACAAGTAAACTTGTGGCGTTGTTTCCAATCAGATATTTCTTTTCAATAAGGAAATAATTCTTCTGAAATATCATAAACTGAAAGTCAATCCTCCTCCCAAATTTTTAAAAGCAGAATACTTCTTTTCTTTAAAAAGGGCAGAATAGTTAACAAAAAGAGAAAGATAACAATTAAACGTAAATAAAAAAGAGCATAAGGAGTATCCATGACAATAGAGATTCTGTCCTACCCTCTTGCAGAAAAGAAAATTAAAAATTCCTCGCTCCTTTTACTAAACAAATTTGGATATTAATCGGGTCGTGATGGTGCGACAGAAAAGCAGAACATTCCAAGTAGTAATAAGCCCCACACACTCGAAACATATTTGATAAAGACAACCCGATTACTCCATGCCATAAATCAAAATTAAAAAAAAAAAAAACTATTTCTAGTTACCCACCAACAAGATTATTTCCTAAGAGATCTTTCTTAGTTTTCAAAAACAACGGAAGCCACAAAACCAGCAAGTCAACCATCCAATAAAAATCCCCCAAGATATTAAGACCAAAATGGAAAAAAATAAATTTAATCAGTTTTACCTCTTTCAAAAAAAGAAAAAACACAGAGAGAGAGAGAAGCAAATAACGAACCAACAAAACAAACTTCATCGTTTCTCCAGCAGAACAAAGGAAAAACAAAAGAAAATAATTTACTATTTTGCATTTCTAGCAAAATCGTCATTCACTATTAAAAAATAAACTTATTTCACAAATCAAATCTAAAAACAATTAAGCATTTCTTACTAAAATTAAAAAAAAAAGCATGCAAAAATCAAAACAGTAGAAACCGCAAAAAAGAAATAACAAGTAGTCAACTAGTGCCTCAACTCTGTGCAGTGAAACAAAAAACCTGCGTGATTATGACTAAAAAAGAAATCCTAAGAAAAAAGACAGGTAAAGTAGATCTAACCTAGCAGAAGGGACCGAAAAGAGTCAACAAAGCAGAACGGCTGATCGGAACCCTAACACCTCAGACTCTGATCCGGAAGGATTTAAGGAGCTGGCGGTAGTACGGAAAACCGCTTCGGGGTTTAAAAGCGGTTTCCCGTGGGAGAGGCAGAGAAGGAAAAGGGGGAGAAAAATGGCAGCGTGGAAGTATATAAGAAAGGGAGGCGCGCGGAGAGCGTGATGAGACACTGTGGACTAACCCTTGATGCTCTTCATCTGACGGCTGCTTTTGCTTTCTTAGTTTAGGAGACTAAATGTGGGCGGTTGGATCACATATAAGATGGTCCTGAACATCGATGACTTTTCTTTCATTTTCTTTTTCCTTTTTTTATTTTTCCCTCCTTTTTTTGTCCTTTTTTAGTGTTTGAGGGGAAGGGATTGTAGACTAATTTAATTTCGAATGGGACCATGGTCCATGAAGATGGGCGGGGTTTGGTGGTACGGGCAATGTAACGAATCAGGTTCACCTCATTTACATCTTTTCAGCTTGAGGGTCATTATTGTGGTTCAAATTGCAAACTAATCAAGTGGCTCGTGATCAATTTGAATTCGAGTTCCGTTAACATCAATTCGAGTTGACTTCGAACTGATCAAGTCAAACTTGATTTTAAAGATATTCATCTCGTTAACTTGCAAGTTGGTTCGATTATATATATATATATATATTTTTTATTTTAATAATAAAATTACATATATATATATTCCTCATATTTTATGAATTGTTAAGAAAATTTATTATTTTATTTATTTTTTTAAATAATTATTATATTTTTTTAAGTTTGAACTTTGCATTTTGAATTCATCGATCTTGAACTCAAGTTTGAATTTCATAAAACGAAATTGAAACTTGTCGATTAGGCCAAATCTCGACTAGACTTGTTGCACCCCTATCGTGGGTTCGATATAGTGATAATAACAAGGTAAAAGGGATTATAAGTAGCATGTTTTAATTCAAAACCTTTGAAAAACAAAATGGGTTTCGTACAATACAGATGGAATGGAAGTCCAACAGGAAGAGTGTACGTTCAAATTCTCCATTTTTTTTTTTCCCATTGCAAGGTTTAAAGTCTCCTTTAAAAATGCTATATTCATAGTGTTACATCTCAAAACTACTCGTTCCATGATGAATTTTATGCCGACTAATTTTAGTCCTTGTACAAGATGTAAAATAGTCTTCCTTACAATTTTTTTTTAAACTTTCACTTACAGTGGGCTTGGATGGGAAAAAAAAAACTATAGAAAATAAAGGATTTGCTAGAAATATTACAAATCATTTATTTGTAAGTCTTTTGAGTGAGAGAAAAGAAAATATGGAAGGTTTTGTATCATATTTTTTTAATGATCCACAATCTTTTCCTGAAATGAAAGGAGAGGAAAACTTAAAACACTTGTACAACTGCTTATGAAGTATCATATTTGTCCCTCAAACATTATACATATTAAAAAAAGGGCATGGATAATTTAGTAAAAGGCTAAAATGAATGATATTTTCCTTTCAAAACTCCCAAACAACACAACGAGAGTTTATATTCCATTCTCTTCTCTTCCAGCTTTCTCACATTTTTTTTTCTATCGTAAACTCCCAAACTAGTCATTATCGTCTTTCATCATAATTTCTTTATATTTTTATCAAATTTTTTTTTTAATGTGATAGGCCCGTAAGAATGACTAAAAAAGAAGCATAGAACGAACAAAAATACCGAAAAGTTAATAAATAAAGGCATTCATCAGCCCATCTTTCCAAGCCCATTCTGTTAACGCCTGACATTCTTTCCTTCTAAGCGTCTTGGGCTCCATTGGTTGACCAATTGAGCCCAAAGTCTAGATTCTAATGCACCCCTTGTGTTTACCACAAGCCTAATATGAGTGTTTTTCGAGTGAATTAGGGCCCCAAAATAGGGAAATTAATATTTGTCCTCCCTATCATGGAGTATTGGAAGCTAATCGAAGAGTGTAAATATCATTCATTTCTCCAAAAACAGCTCGTGGCAATAAAAGAATTAGAGGCATCTGTTTGTTTGGATTGGCCTGATTTCAAATAAAAAAAATTTACTTCACAAATTTCAATCACCTTTTTATCTCACACACATCACATCACATCACAAAAAGTGCTACAGTAATTATTTCAAATAAATCATTCAAATTATTTATAACGCGAACAGTCATTAAACTCAGTAAACACTAATTATTGAAAAATGTCAACGGTGAGGAACACAAACCTCTTTCAATTAATTAAAATGCAATATTTGTATATATATATATATATATAGTATGTTACAAGGTTGGAATGACATGATGGCCATTTAATTAAGATCACAAATATCTCTACATGAGGAAACTACCCAGTACCTACCTAACAACTGTCGAGATTATTCCCATGTACTCCTATGATCACTAAAAAGAGAAGAACAAACTTGTAACAAAATCAACCCATGTTTAAAAAAAAAAAAAAAAAAACCCTTAAAATAGAGGGGGACAAAAAAGGTCAGAAGATTTTTCATCAAACTAAAGTCTCCTGTCGAAATTTTGGGCAGGTTTCTCTTTGAGATCAGGATTCTTTTGGCGCTGCGGAAAAGTGATCAGTGAAGAAGAGGAGGAAGAAGAAGAAGATTGAGTGCGATAATCACGGGGGTGGATGAAAATTGGCGAGGAAATTCTGAGAGCATCTGAACAACTTCTCTCATGGTGGGCGCAACGCTGTTTTCTTGAACGCAGAGCATGGCAATGAAGAACAAATGCATGGCTTCATCTTTTGGCACCGCGGTTGAGAGTCTCGGATCAACGATGCCGTCGACTTCTTCTCTTCTGCAATTGGTTGCCCTTCTGGCCCATTGCACAATATCTACGCCTTCGCCAAAATCACCACCGGACGACGCCCGGTGATCAGCTCAAGCAGCACCACCCGAAGCTGTACACATCGCTCTTCTCATCCACTTTCAGCGTGTATGCATATTCTGCACCAAAATCAATCATGCGATGACCACCTTACGTTTGAAAAAAAAACAACAAACCCACCCTCCCTCCCAACTCTTTTGATATAGAAGATGAAATCAAATCTTTTAACTTGCTTGAATTTCTTTACGACCCTCTCTCTAGCCAATTCACCTCCTAACTAATTGACGTTCATTCGTGCTAGAAAATGCAGCTTTTCTCAAATAATTTCCTGGCAAATGATGAATGTGTTTGGATAGCAGATATATATATATATATATTTTTTTAAAAAACGCTATAGCACTATTTTTTTATATGATGTATATAAAATAAAAGATGATTTAAAAAATATATATTTGTGACATAATTTTAAAAAAAATTTACAAATACTTGCCACGGTCTCTTACAAACACTTTGATAGGTGTTGGGATGTTACCACTAGCGCCAAAAAAATTAAATAAAAAAATCAGTGTTAGAAGTTGTGGGGACGATATGAGGCAGTGATGTACAGGCGTATACTTGGCGCCGGCGGCGAAAAAAGGATGTGCTGCGGATGTAGCTTTCACGGCATACGACGCTGTATTGATCTCTTTTGGTCAGGCACATCACATTGATTGACCCACTGAATTACGTTACGGATCATCCAAAGCACAAGTAATTGGACCCCACTGACTACCTCCGGCACAGAATTAAGCGTGGGGGTCCGCATTGGTCTCGTAATCCCAGTCCTCCTGATTCGACCCGATTACCCAAAAAAATCTCTCACAGCCTCACACATAATCTGTCACGGCTGCCTTTCCACCTCTGCCTTTAGCTAATCAAGTTCGCACGCCATTTCTTAATTTTGACTTATTAGGGCACTTGGCTTCTTTAGTTTTTTTTTTTTTAAAAAAAAAACCCAACAAAAATGGTTTGTTTGGTCAGTGAATTATTAGAAAATATTTATTTACTTGCATAATCGACACATTTTTTAACCATCA